CGTGCCTCTTCAGTGTGAATGTGCATGGCAGCCACGCAGAAAAGGGGTCTCAATGAGCTTTGCCGCTTTTTTTTTCCCATCGTGTCATCAAAATGAGAGATGAAGATGAGCGAGGCCAGTTTGAGGAGTTTTTGCAGTTCCCCTGGTCCTGCTCCAGCCTTGTCCACAGCTTGGAGGAGATGCCAGGAGCCAGACTTTGATGATTCTGGTGGGTCCCTTCCAACTCAGAATATTCTGTGATTCTGAGATTAGAGGCATTTCTCTCTGAAGGTACTGTGGGAGTCAGCAGGTGTTTGGCTTGGGAGGGTGCTCCGAGCCTGGGTCTGGTGCAGGCAGGAGTTTTTATCCCCTTTGCTCGATGTACTGGGTGAAATGAGGCAGAAGGAGCTTGGTTAGGTGAGCATCGCCAAAATCTGGTAGGACAATCCCCCGCCGGGCCAGCGCTGCTCTTCCGCTCCGAGAACAATGGGAGTTTACACAACTGCAGCCCACTTGAGGCTTCTGCCTTACTTCACGAGCCCCCAAATGTTACAGCTCTGCCTGATGTCCTTGGCTCTGTCCCGCTTTGGAAGGAAACATGCAGTGGCCTGCACTGCCAATGCTATTTCCTCCCGCCTGTTCTTCAGAGGTCTCTTTTTCCAACAGCTGATCGGCTCCGCAGCTCCGGGGAGGACGTGAGATCCGGCTGGCCCACGAGCGGGCTGGTATGGCCGCCTGCCATGTTGTTGTTTGTATTGCTTTCATTTCTCTGGCGTTACTTGGCCCTTCCCCGCAACTTGTTTTCATCCTGAACTATGTGCTCGTTACGTATCCAAACGCCCACGCGAGGTTTTTGCATGAGGAAACTCGAAACACACGCGCGGTAGAGGAACAAGTTTCTGATGTGGGGGTAGGGGGTGGGGGGGGGATGAGATATTCGTCTCCAGGCTGACACAAACAATTGTCAAACCCCCAAGTTTCCTGCCCTTGGGTTTCCAGCTTTCTTGATGACAAGCACGTGGACGCCGTGTGTGCATCATCCTCCTGGCAAAGAGACGTGGGGAACATCTCTTGTGGTCACCCTGGACTCTCCCAGCTACTGTCCGAGGCACCTGTCCAGGCACCTCTGAGCTCGTTGGAAGGCTGGGCCCTGATGGCCAAAGGGTCCCTGTTTGCAGCAAGAGAAGCTCTCTCTTCCCCTCCACGGCCCCTTCCTTACAAACCAGCCAGCCACAGGCAGCACGGATCCACCCAGCCAGCTCTGGTCTGGGAATCATGCTGGAGAGTTTCAGTGAGGTCCCAAGTGAGGGGCTCAGGAGAAGGGACAGCTCTGCAAGGTGTTTGTTTTCTAAGGACAAGGAAGCTCGTGAAGGGTCTGGAGCACAGGTCTGATGAGGAGAGGCTGAGGGAGCTGGAGGGGATGAGCCTGGAGGAAAGGAGGCTCAGGGGGGAACCTTCTCGCTCTCTGCAACTCCCTAAATGGGGATTGGAGCCAGGTGAAGGTTGGTCTCTTCTCCCAGGTAACAAGAGGTGGTATGAGAAGAAATGGCCTCAAGTTGCACCAGGATTAGATTTAATATTCGATAAAATTTCTTCACTGAAATAGTGGTCAGGCATTGGGACAGGCTGCCCAGGGCAGTGGTGGAATCACTGTCCCCAAAAGTGTCCAAAAAACATGTGGATGTGGCACCTGGAGACAGGGTTTAGTGGTGGCCTTGGTAGTGCTGGGTTAATGGTTGGACTTGATGATCTTGGAGGGCTTTTCCAACCTTAATGATTCTGTGATAAGTGCCCTCTTTTGGGTTTCATCCCCAGAGCAGTGGGTCTCAGTCACTGCTGGAGGTAGGACAGGGTACATTGATTCCTTTGGGCTCCACAGGTTCCACAAATCCAGTGTTGCATTGGATCAGGAAACGCAGCACAGACCTGGAGCAGCGCAGTGGGGTTCAGACACTCGTGTTTTGTGAGTCTCTCCCTCCTCTGTGGCCCCATCACCACTGCAAGGGCAGCACCCTTGCTGGGATACAGAGAGCTCAGCTGGAGGCTCCAGGCTGTGCAGATCTGCAGCACAACGCTTCCCTGCACATCACACTCCTCCCCACCGTGCTCCGTCCACTCAGAGTGTGGAAAAACCCTCTCCTCCAGCAGCCACCAGTAACTGCACAGCACCAGGAAGGCTGAGCTGGAGAAACTGGGGGGGGGGGGAGCAGGAGGGGGACTCAGTTTGCAGCTCAGGATTGCTTTGCTTCCTCACAGCCTTCCCTGCTGCCTGTGCTGCAGATGGAGAAAGATTTTCCAGGGCTGTCAGTACTGCGTATTTCACCAGCATTCCCTTCACTTCAAGTCCAAAATGTGCTAAAAATACGCTGGCTTGGCATCCAGGTTCTTGATTCAAGTGGTAACAGGATACTGGGCAGAGAAATCCTGGGGTGGTTTCGCTCTGCAGCAGGAGGGAGCTGCTGGCTCTCCCTCCTCTTCCTCCTCCTCCTCCTCCTCCTCCTCCTTCTCCTTCACCTCTTCCTGGCTGATATGGGGCTGTTGTCCCCCACTCTCAATCCCCTAAATTTCATATTCAGAGGTCACAGGTTTCACATGGCACTGTGTGGTTGTTAGTGAAGCTCCGGACATTGAGGTGGCGTCTCTTCCTCTGGGGTTGGGAGTATATTATTAGTAAAGTATTTGTTTTATTACTCCTGTGGTAATTCTGGGAGAGGAGGGATGCCCGCAGGCAGAAGTTTGGATAAGTGAAGCCTGAAATGCCACGGGAAGGCCACAAACTTCAAAAAGCCTCGTTAGTGCAGCAGAGGAGGGAGATGTGGATGTTTGTGCCACATCCACGGACTTTGTGGTGTTGTTGCAGAGCTCTGTGGCTTTGATTCCGGTGAAAACGCTGAGAAGCCCCTCAGGGAAGGGGTCTTGAGATGAAGTGCTTGCTGCTCCCCCTTGCTTTTGAAACACCCAGTTGATGTTCAGCCTTCAAGGCTGCGGAACGAGTTTTTCATCCGCAGGCAGATTTTGCTGCCACATTCTCACTCGCTTTCCTAAAATAAAGGGGGGAAAAAAAAATAAAAGAATCCTTGTGCTAATTTAATCTAGCCAGGCATCCTGCTGTCCTGCCTCATAATATCTCTCCAATCTGTCATTTCCAACAGACAGCGGTTTATTTGTTTGGCTTTTTTTTTTTTTTTTCCCCCGTGGTCTTGAAATATTTCCCCTGCTTTCTCATGGAGCCCAGAGCTGCCCCAAGGATGTCTCAAGCCTCCCCCTGGCTTCGGTGGGAGCTCTGGGTGAAAACATCTTCCTTCTCCAGGAAAACCCCTAAAGAACCTTAAACAGAGAAACTTGTGAAAGAATCCCTGGCTTATGTGCTGGTCCATCAGTGTGAGGGGTTTCAGAGCCAGGCTCTGGGCACATGGTGGTCCAAAGCACTGAAATCCAACCTGGTCCAGGTCTGGAGATCCCAAAATGAGCATCCCTCCAAATGGAGCACAGCACCACAGACCCAGAGAGGTACCAGCGCTGCCAGAGAATTATTCAGTAGCATCGATTGCAAAGGAGGAAACTATGAATACTTTTAATGTTTAATATAGAATCTTAAAATCAAATTGTGTTGGAAGGGACCTAAAGACCATGTTGTTCCAACCCCCCTGCCATGGGCAGGGAAATCTTCCACTTTCTTGGATTGCTCCAAGCCCTGTCCAACCTGGCCTTGAACACTTCCAGGGATGGGGCATCCACAACTTCTCTGGACAACTGATGCCAGTGCCTTAACACCCTCACAGCCAAGGATTTCTTTCTAACATTTAATCTAAGTCTCTCCTCTGTCAGTTTGAAGCCATTCCCCCTTGTCCTATCTCTTATTTTCATAAGTGATCTGATGGGATGAATTGTACCCTGATGAGGTTTGTCAGTGATACTAAAGTGATCCGGGAAGATCCCTTTGGAAGGGAGAGCCACCCTGCAGGAAGACCTGTACAGGCTTGAAGAGTTGGCTGAAAAGAACCTCGTGGTTCTTCAACAAGGACAAGTGTAAGGTCTTACACCTGGGAAACATTATCTGTGAGTGCAGCACAGGTTGGGATCTACTGGGCTGGGAAGCAGCTCTATGGGAAGGAATTCAGGGATCCTTCTGGACAACAAGGTCAGTAGGAGTGTTGGGCTTCACCAAACAAGGGCACCACCAGCAGAGATAAATCAGCCCTGATCCCACTCCACTCAGCTCCTGCCAGGCTCTTCGGTAATCAACACCCCACTCCAGCCTCATGGGGCACCTCCTGCTCTCCTCAACCCTCCTGAAACCCCTCAGGGCATCCCCTGAGTGCCTTGAGCCCCTCAGCCCCACAGGGCATCCTCTGAGGCCCTCAGGGCATCCCCACCATGCCCCACACCCCACTCGGCAACCCCTGAGCCCCTTGAGCCTCTCAGGGCATCCCTTGAGCCCCTCAGGGCATCCTCTGAACCCCTAAAGCCTCTCAGGGCACCCTCTGAACCCCTTAAGCCTCTCAGGGCATCCCTTGAGCTCCTCAGGGCACCCTCTGAACCCTTAAAGCCTCTCAGGGTATCTCCTGAGCCCCTCAGCTCCCCCTCAGGGCACTCTCTGAACCCCTTGAGCCCCTTAGGGCATCCTTTTGAGTCCCTCAGCACCCCCCTCAATTCTGAGGGCACCCCCTGAACAACTTGAGCCTCTCAGGGCATCCCTTCAGCCCTCAGTTCTCCCCCAGGGCACACTCTGATCCACTTGAGCCCTTCAGGCCCAGGGGGGTGCCCCCCCTCAGGGCTTTGAACACCTTGAACACTCAGGGCTTTGAACACTCAGGGCATCCCTTGAGCCCCTTCAGGGGCACCCCCTGAGCCTCTCAGGGCATTCTTTGAACGCCTTGAGCCTTTCAGACCCAGGGGGCGCCCCCCAGAGCCCCTCATCTCGTCCCGCCCAGCCCAAGGGTGTGTGCGCCCCCCCACCCCTGCGCGGCCCCTTTAAGAGCGCGGCCCCTTTAAGGGCGCGGCCCCGCCCGCCGCGGTCGCTGCCGGGGCCGCTGCTGACAACAAGATGGCGGCGGCGGCGGCGAGTCCGGCGGGCGCCGAGAGCCGCGTCTTGGGCTACAGCCTGCACCGCTGGAGCAGCTTCTCCTCCACGTACCTGCCCGAGTGAGTGCCGGCACCGGTGCCGCGCCCGGGCCGCGCTCCGGGCTCCGCTCTGGGGGGGGTGGCCGGGCGGCCGGGCCTGTGCGCGGCCTGCGCTGGGGCCTGCGGCGGGGGGAGCGGGGACGGGGCTGGGTGAGGAGGAGGAGGTGGGGGGGTCTGTACGGCGGAGTTTCGGGGGTTTGTGTGGAGTTTCAGTGGGGGCTGTGTGTGAGGAAGGGGCCTGTGTGTTGGGTTTTTGGAGGGCTGTGTGTTTTGTGTGTGCGACTGTGCGGCGGAGTTCGGGAGTTTGTGCGGAGTTCGGGGGGGTCTGTGCGAGAGGAGTGTCTGTACGGCGGAGTTTGGGGGGTTATGTGTGTGTGTCTCT